TCATATGAAAAAAACATGTTTTATTATTATTTAAATAAAATTTATAAAACATATAAATTTTTGTAATTTTTTTTAGTGAAAACGAGCAAATAAATTTATTATTTAATTAACATTTATTAAAAAAATTATATAATTATTTTGTTGTTGATTTGTGTATGCTGTTTTATACGTTTTAATCGTGTGTTGTAAATGGTTGGAGAAATGAGGTTGTAAGAAAGAAAAGGCATTAATTAATTTGTTATGTATTGGTTGTATGGTTCTGACAGTATTTCAATCGTCGTAAAGGGCGGTAGGAGTGGTTATATACTATTCAGACCGACAAATTACAGTTTCTGCGATTTTCTTCAGATGGAAAATGAGTTTTCTTGCGGGAGCACACGATTAAAACTAAATTCGATTAGGGGTGGCGGCGGAGACGGCTCTCGTCGTTCGATCTAAACCTTCTGCAAGGGGGTTGGGGGTGGCCATGCTCCCCCACACATACACACAACAAGTATATATTTTTTAATAGAGCAAACACACGTGAATCCGATGTTAAGTGTATCCCTTCGAATAGTTAAAAGGTAAATGCAGGGTAAATATTTGAGAGAGATAATTACTGCCGCGCCTGGGAGGCGGATACGAGCTAGTTCGGTCTCGGGGGTTCCGTTGGTTCCATCAATTGCAAGGGCCGGGGGCTGATCGTTCGATCGCAGCGGCATAAGCTTCGGTCCCCCGGCTCTATACACACATACAACACACACACACATACATACATATATTTCAACCCCTAGTGCGTTGAATATATGCGGTTATACGATTCAACGACTACAAGCTGCCACCCCGTAAACACGCGCTTTAACTGACTCTATGATAATCATCGACAATCCAGAAATTCATATTCAAACGGTCGACCGACGGGGGTAGTAAAAAAAAAGAAAAAGATAGAGCTACACGAAAGAGCACCCCTTCAGCCGTGGAACTTCTGGATTTTATTTGTGACACCTCTTCAATTTTTCGAAGCAACCCTTCAACATTTATGTTTTCCGCTCTAATTCGTCATTTTTACCAACTAACAATACCAATTACTATAATTACATGTAATTTGACATGTTATAGTTAAATTAATATCAGTTATCTAATAAAATTCTTATAAATTAAAATAATTATATGATTATTTTCTTGAATTATTTAGATTTTTTGAAGTTGTACTTAAATATTAAAATTTAGAAATAGAAAATAATTAAAAAACGTTGAGAGTGTAGAAAATTTGTATAGAATAAATTCTTCTTTTAATTTATTTTATTTTATGGTTATTGCAATAATTATTATATTGTTTAAGATTTTATATATTTTTATTTTGTTTTACAAAAAAATAAAATAATTTTTTAATTGTTATTTGTTAGATAAGAAAATATTAAAAAATTCAAATCTATGGTATAAAATTTTACTAAATGAATATAACAATTGAATTTAGTATTAATAAATTAATAATTAAGATATTTATTATTTAATAATATTTTACTATTTTCCTCTCAAAGTATTTTATAAATTATTAAAATATTGGAAACAATTAAAAAATGTTGAGAATGTAGAATAATTCTAAATTTTATTTATAAATATAAAAAGTCAATTAAAAGGTCTTCGCCAGAGGTTTTTCCGCACTAATAAAATATTTTAATAAATATGGACTGAAAATTTTCGTTTTCATTAAGAGTTCGATACTAAAGTTATTATTATTTTTGAAGTGAATATGCGAAATGAATCCGGATCACGTTTTCGGTTCGTTTATTTCTTGTGTGCTCTTTTTAATGAAAGCTTATGAGGGGATGCGAGAGACTCGATCGGTCTGGGGAGGCGGCGACTAGGGGTTGTTAATAGAAATTTCGGTTAAGCGATCAACTTCCGCTTAGCATTACGTTATTATTTGTTTTGTGTGCGGGCCCGAGGGGGGCGGGTGCGTACTTCGGGGACGGCGTCGCCGCCGCCACCATCACCACCGATCCCCTCATCCTCCTAGTCCTAACAGCCTCGTTCCGTAATTTAAATATTGGGCAACCGTTAGGGGCAAATCTAAAGGCAAACGCGATTACGTACCTCTCCCCCAGACAAGAAACATAAGTGTTTATTTAAAATCCGCAAAGACGTCGAGAGGGATGGGGCGGTTCGCCCGGGGGAGGACAGGGGGCGGTAGAGTGTGCCGGCTGGTTATATTGTGCGCGGATTCCCCGGGTTCTTGATCTTTAATAAAGTTTGTTCAACACAATGAAGAGGCATCTGCGCGCCTCTTCCGCCAACTCCCTTTTGTTGGTGGCGCGACACGCGCTCGACGCTCAACACAATCAAGCGACATTCGATAGCGTCTTAAGAAAGTACTTCCGCCGGATCCGCAGATCGTATTGCACCACGTACATCTGCGCTCTCCCCGCAGATTGCAATCGCAATCCATCCTCTAATTATGGGATGATCACGTGGCGGTGGAGACGCGGGGTGAGGCTGATTTCAATCTCGCGTCTCGGCCATCAAGGAGCGCCTCAGATGCTGCTATGACTGCTGACTATGACTGGATATGGCGGGGGCGGATCGGGATGAAAAGCGACGCGTTTCTATGGATGGCACGGGGCGTAACTCGGCGCCATCTCATCTGCGTCTCCTCTTCCTGCTGCAACTGGGGTCAAGAGACAAACGTCGACGGAGAGCAATTTGCGAGAGCGGAAATTAATTGATCACTTTTTTTTATTGTAATCGGCCCTAAGCGACTTGCCTTGGCCTGCTGCAGGCCTTAAAGACACCACGTGTGTAGGGTTCTCTCAATGGAACGATGCACCGAGTTTGCTATACACGCCACATCCGCCCACGTGCCCTTAACTATATGGGAATCATATTTCCGACTCCGCTTCCGATAGTGAACAATATTAAACGATTCGCGCATTATTCACCATTCAATAAGTGGTACAATACCATACAACACCCCATGCCAATACCCAAAGTCAAAAAAGAAAATAGGGTGGAAATCTAAATATTTTGTTGCCTCACGAATTTTTTAATCTTCATTCAAATTATTTTTTTTTTTCAAAAATTTCAATAAATTATTTTAATTTAGATTATTTAAAACATTTTTAATATAATTCCATAAATATTAATTATTTAATCAATGATATAATATATATATTTAGTAAATGTTTCATATTGAAAATGTAAATCTTATAAGTTAATGTTTTTGTATTGTTTTTACTATCATACAGAAATAGGACAGACGTGTACGCGAGAAGTCGTAAAGTTGAAGGTCGGAAGTAATCAATGAAGAAGAGCACACTTTCAATGTATATTATATAGAATATATTTGTGGGTGAGTGACGATGATGGTGCTAATAGAATCGTAATTGAGCGGATGAAAATATGTGTGCACGAGGCGTCGAAAGTTGAAAGATTAGATTAGATGAGTTTGTTGAAGTGACACGGCGTTGGGGGATCATCCGTTTTGGGGGGAGGGGTGAACGATGTCTATAATTGTCTGAAATGATTGAGTCTGTGGTCGGCAGTGAGCATTATATAAAAATCGTGCGGCGTGACATCGACATCGCACAGTCGTTCCCCAACAATGATCTCGCTCAGAACCAGATAACCCTCAGCCGTTAATTGTCTGTGATTAGCCTTGCCGCACGACACCCTCATCCCTTCATCCCTACATCCCATTCGTCCCGCCACCCCTCGGAGCCGCCGTCGCAGTATTAGCTGATCGAAACCCTCCTTCTCCCATGTTCCATGTTCTATGTTCCACGTTCATGTTCCACGACGCATAATAGGCTTTGTCACTTATTATTGCGATTAAATGAGGGCGTGACGCATCCATCTTATCCTGTATACGACAACACATTTCATGTTTATATCATCATCAGGAAACTCGTCCACTCACCCGGAAATCTCAACCCTCCTGTCAAAAATAATATACAACAATCGTGGCTACACACTAATAACCTTTGCAAATTCTATACATGTAATTACTTCATATCAGTCAGCAAGAACATTTACTAAGTTACTAGAACTTAAAAAAATAGTTTAAAACTAAAATATAATAATCAATAATTTTGTTTTAAAATCATTCAGATGTATAATAAAATTCCCTTAAGGTAATAAATCAAAACAATGCTTTCAAAATATTTGGAAGAAACATATGCCAGAGTCTTTTACTTCGAGCAAAACATAGCCCTTATCCCCTCTCATCCATGCATGTAATGGCCAGTCCTTCTCAACCCCACTCCACCCCACTTCACACTTCCCAATGCATTCATTCGTCTTTCATCTATGCACAGATTCTTGTATCCACCTTTCTTATGTATTACGTATTCATTCACGTTTACTCGATTCCCATAACGCTCCACCTCTTAAGGTTCCACCACAAACGTAGATAATCCCTTTTTCTTATTCGACTCATCCTCATTGTACTTATCCACCTTCCCAATATACCAATCCTCATTACTTCTTTCCTCCCTTTCCATGTAATCCCTTTATGTGCAAACATTTTACTAATCTTCCTGCTATTACCCTAGCTATTACCATTCACAATTTCCCTTCTGCCACAATGTTAACTGGGCGGTCCTCATTCACACCTCACACCTTGTGAAGTTCATTTCTACTATTCCATCAGCATGCAATCTTGCTGTACTACGTTTACTACTCTCTGAAGAAACATTACTTTACGTGCATGTTACATAAAATATTTTCGGTCTTAGAATGATAAGGTATGTTCAAGTATTATGATCAATATTTTTATATAATTTGTTACAACTTTGAATGACGCTTTTGAATAAGCTACTCTACTTGATACTCTACTTATATAATGGCACACTAGTGAAACAACAACTTTTACTGGAGTAATACTACATGAAGATATCATACATTGTTTGAAAATATTAATTTAACTAAAAATATATCAAAGAGCTAAAATTTACTAAATATTTACACAATTTTAATTAAAATTATTTTGAAAATTTATATATTTTATTTATTTATGTTTTCAGAATTAGGATGGCTGCGACGGAGAATTCGACGAGTTTGGGTGATGGAGAGGCTCAGAAGGGTGCGCCGCCTCCGACGAGAAGCTTGAACTTCTCCATAGCGAAGATCATGGAACCAGACAACAAGTTTCCAAAAAAGAGTCCGGATTCGTCGTTGACAGTGCCAAAGGTACCGACGATGCCATATACTTCCCACCTGGAATCAGCGTTCAAGAAGTACGTGCCATCAGTGCTGAGATCACAGGATCTGCTCCACCAATACCCTCTGGTCTACTATCCCAGTCAGTTGATGTGCGTAGCAACGACCTCGGTTTCGGTATACAGTGTTTCTCCAGAGAATGGTGCAGCAGGAGGTAGTCCCTCGGGACTGCCGGCGGTGAATCCGACAGCACCGTCGTTGCCGGAACATTACAATAAGGGCTGCCATATGAAGCGCACAATGGGACCGGTTGGTTCGGGGGCGGTGGCGTCCGCGCCGACTGGAACAGGGGCGGTCGCCGGCTTGGGGCTGGTTTCGGGATTGGGATCGGCGGTGGGCACGGGGACGGGCAGCTCATCCGGGATCGATGGGGGGAAGAGTGCCCTGAGCACGGCCACCAACTCCGCCAAGCAGAAGAGCTTCGAGTGCGGCGAATGCGGCAAGGTGTTCAACGCACACTACAATCTGACGCGCCACATGCCCGTGCACACGGGCGCGCGACCCTTCGTCTGCAAGATCTGCGGAAAGGGATTCCGACAGGCGTCTACCCTTTGCCGCCACAAGATCATACACACATCGGAAAAACCGCACAAATGCCATACATGCGGGAAAGCCTTCAACAGATCCTCAACGCTGAACACACACGCCCGCATCCACGCCGGCTACAAGCCTTTTGTCTGCGAGTACTGCGGTAAAGGATTCCACCAGAAAGGCAACTACAAAAACCACAAGCTCACGCACAGCGGCGAAAAGGCATACAAGTGTACTGTCTGCTCGAAGGCTTTCCACCAAGTCTACAACCTCACCTTCCACATGCACACCCACAACGACAAGAAGCCCTTCACCTGCCAGGTGTGCGGTAAGGGCTTCTGCCGGAACTTCGATCTCAAAAAGCACATGCGGAAGCTGCACGAAACCGGCGGCGCCGGTGACCAGGAGTTCATGAATAGCCCTCCAGCTCCCAGCGGCTATCCACGAGATCGCGACCTCCACCACTTTATCAGCCCTTTCCTTCTGCCGCCATCCACATCCAGACCACCGGTTCCGGTCTACACCGGTAAACTCTTATGACCAATTCCCGACTGCTATTAACTTATTTTGCAATTTAATAATCATTGTTATTGTTTCCTATACGAAGAAGTAAGACGAAAAGAAAATATAATAATAATATTAATAATACGATATGAATATCAATACATTCGAGGAAAAAAAATGAAGTAATAATTATATTAATAAATCATATTGCAATATAAATGTGGACGCTTTGTGAATCTGTGTTAAATATTAAAGGGAAAAGTTTAAAATAATTATACCGAAATTTGGATGATGAGTCGAGTCAGTAGCGATATGGATCTCTCTGTATAAATGTGCAATATTAATTCGGCTTCTATATAACTATGACTGGTCTCCTTTTCACATCGCTTAGATTATGTATTATAATAAAAGATAAATTAAGAACAACAAGATCTGAAGATATACCTATATAAATATATATTAATATTAGTTAATAAATGTTATTTATAATAAAAAAAAATCTGAAACTATACGAATACTCTTTCATTTTCCTATCCCGGCATCCCTTACTCTCAAATAGAATAATGGACAGGAAAATGTATTTAGAATGAAATTAGGTAACAGCCTTGTGGTTTTCGGCGGGATCCATGCTGAAAGGGAAATAATCAGTGCAGCGTTGCGTATGTCCAGTGCAAGCAAACGTATGGGATAATAACAAGGTATTAAGGATCATTGATCACAATATGGGGATCAGCAGCGTCCATTGAATCCTACTCCTGTGCTGTACGCACATGACGAGAAAGTTTTACGGCCGTACTGGATTAGGGATGTTTCTTTCCTCTCGAGTGGTCAGTCACAACAGGCACTCCTCGCATCGTCCTTAAGCAGATTACATGTTTCACTTTTTTTTTCCTTGCCCTCCTCCTTCTATCCATGACCGATTGCCGCTTCACCTTCAGACGGGCCGACACAAACAACGCCGTATCGTTTCCTCTACAAGTAACTTCAATAAAACGATTTACCCAAAACTCTCCTCCCATTCATTTGCTGGATATACTTTACTATACCTCCTGCTTAATACCTACGATTTATGAGGTAATATATTTGTGGGCGAACACGGAAGCAGTTGTGATTCTTTTGTGACCGCACCACAATAAAGGTAGAAAAAAAAAATACCATTTTTATCTTATACAAGGAATTAAGCGACTTACGTGTGTTCATCTCATAATAAACAGCTTAATTTTTATCAATTGCTACTTACTATTTGCTACAAATATTTTCAAGAAAAATAATACGACTTAATATCATTTAACAAATATCATAATATTACGTTTACATAAAAATCATTAATTGAAAATTATTTTCTTATTTACATATTTATAAATATTTATTTTCAGAACTTTACGAAAATTTAAAGAAAATCAAATAATATATGATAATTGTTTAATTTTAACAAGTAATAATTAATAATTCGTGAAAATAACTAAATCAGTTTCAGTAATTATTTATTCAAACACGAAATAATTATGAAACCATTTGATTGTACCAACAGATCAGAAGGGGTGATGATCTACCCCCAAGAGTTCGGATCATTAGTCACTTTTTACTAAGCTTGAGAACTAGCAACATGGCTAATGTATTATCACACCCTTAAATTATACTTGAATATAAACACTTTGATTTTATTGTTCATAAGGAAATATTGCTCTTTAAATTAGTTTTAATATTATCTTATTTTTATAATGATAATTTATTATAAATACTTTAAATATTTACTTATTTTAGTAAATATTTTTAATAATTCATTCATACGATGGAAATAAAACTTATCACAGAAACATGAATGAACATCGGAAATAGTAATATTTTTCAGTGGCATTTATCCCTCTTTCTATTAGCTAGTTTTTTTTCTCTTTCTGTGTTCTTCCTGGGTAATTTGTAAAACCGCACCCCGTGAAGCGTTTCCTGATTTCTTGTTCCTCTCCCATTATTTTCGTTTTCTTGATGTTCACCGCATCTATTGTGGTTTATATTCAAATTCATAAGGAGCAAAGACCAGAAGGAGCTGGCCCATATAAATAAAGAGTGAATCGTCCGTTCCCCTCCTTCTGTTTGATTAGCCCGGATAATTGTAAGAAAACTTAAACAAACAAACAGAGACAGGTATTGGGATGTATGGGGGCTCTAGCTGTCAACACGAATTTGGTCGACGGCAACGGTTGGATAACATCGTAACTAGCCGAGCCTTCGGGTGCCCATGAATGACAGATGGGCAGGCTAAACCATTTACCCGACACATGAATGAAAACACGATGTTATCGCACAGATACCTTAAAGGGATCACTCCTGTACAGCTATGATACTCCTAGTTCCGACCGACGGGATTGACGCATATCTTTCGTTAATTAATTGGAAACCCGATGTATAAGATTAATCTTATATAAAAACACATATAGTTCATAGTAATTAAATGAATACATTTCTGATAAATAATTATTCTAATTTATTATTTAAATTTAACGAAGTTGAATTTTATTAATTAATAAGCAATTTTAAATAATATATATTTAAAAAAAAATAGAAATATTTTTTATCTGCATTATATTTGCTACAGTTTGGAACGTATATTTAGTGTGTGTGAATTCGTGTAACTTTTGTAGTGAATAATGAAAATTTGCTACCGACTAAGACCACAAATTTAAAAGGAAATTTTCTTGTAGAATTCAAAAATACAGTAGTAAAATGTTCAATTGCATAATGCAATACATGCAATCTGCGGATTACATGAATGGAGGTATTAGAGTATTGCAAGTACAAAAAGAAGGTGTAGTTGCAAAGGTGTTTGGCGGCGACGGTCAGTGAATGAAATTTTCCTAGAAACTCCGTGAAAAGTAGGCTTCGTTTAACGGCTTAACTGACATTATCGCCTACTTAACAGGATTTCGGCTATCCGAGGGACGACCAGGGGGTTTGCACAGCAATTTTAATAATTGAAATCCTGCGAGAAGCCGCATCCGTGTATCTGCCTGGGATTGTGTTCGAGCGAGTATTAGGGGTCGCTTACTGTAGGGGTGTTTCGTGAAGGGGTTTCCTAGGAGTTCATTAATTGCTCATCGCCCTTTGCACGGTCCGACACCTTCCGCATTCACAAGTGATCTGGCAATGACACGGCATCATCGGCAAATTGCCATTATTCTCCTCATAACTTTCATCATCCGTGGATAAACGAATCACGGATCCTGATATCCGGAGGGGACAATTGCAACATCTGCTTGCTGTTTCTTCTTGCTGAAAAGGAATTTATTCAAGGTTTTCAATTCGAAGGTAGCTTTGCAGCGTAGACCCCGGGTATTTGACGACGGTGGAGGAGGTTCGAGTGAAGAAAAAGTGAGCCCTACGGGTTCGATGGCCCGAACATCCGGCCTCCACTTGAGACCACTAGCCTAAACAAATTGTAGACAACAATAAAGGATTCCGGTGCATTTCGCTAAAGGTTACATGAAGTAGCGCAACTTTAAGGCGATTACAGGCAACAATGCGATCTTTGCCCCGCCGAAAGGAAAACAAAACAGCAACAAAAAAAATGAAAGCACACAGAAAAAATGCAAGCCGCTTCCTTCTTCGGACAGATCACGCAGAATTCCTCGCAAATTTTTGTATATTCTATTCATAGGTATTACATAATTTAATTGTATTAGACATTCAAAATAAAAAGCAAACAAAAATTACATATCAAAATATTATTTTTATACTTGTAAATATTTTTTTCTATACTTAGAGAATCGTTTTCAAATTATTGCTATGAATAGGATGTTCCAATGAAAGGATTTTTTTTTCATATATTTTTTTTAATATACTCCCCCTAAGGATCAAATGGCTGCGTAATAAAATAGGATAATGATCAGAGCAGTAAGCGATTTTTGTTCAAGATCCGGCCACTCGAAATATCGCTGTTAAATCATTACATGGCAAAGAGTTTTTAGATACAAGATCAATCCTTCCTCTGGAGTGCATTCGCCTATCGTCCTCACTCCAGATTTTGATGCAATAAGCGGTAATGGCATGGAGGGATGGAAAACGAGGCAGCGATCGCTAACCTTTTGTTTTGGAATAATATTAAAGGTGTTACTACATGTGATTGCACGAAGCTATCGTAGTATCGTCTGCACCCTCGCGACCACCCCCTGCACCAAAACGATATACTAAAACCATTGTCGCAAGCTCGAAGGGTGAGACACCTGTGACGGTCCCAGGGCCGTTGCACAGGCCAACACCTTCGCATAATGAACTCGCTGCTAATCGCTTTTGCACCTCTCCTCACGGTTCGCCACGTCCCTCGCAAATATTCTGAACAAGCCTCAACCCCCGCATCACCCCCACAATAGCTCGACTCCTAATACCTACGACGACATATGCACGTAATACAGCGTAAACTTTCAGTATTATGTCACGGAAACTGATTCCATTCATCTTACCTAATACACGGCAAGCAGTTCGCAGCGTCGCCGGAAAGGAGCCAATCGATAAGAATTTCGGCCGTTAATTCGCTTCTCTAGACGCGTTTTCCTGCATCGCCTCCGAATCCACCCCAATCACGGTGCCTCATTCAATTGGCCCTTCTCCTCGCCCTTCTTTGTAACGCCCCCTTTATTAATTTCCCATTTCTGCCGCTGGAACATCAATGTCACACCTTATTTGACGTCGATAATACTGTTACCAATGCCATCAATATATCGTCCAATTACCAAACAATCATTACTATTATGACCACATCAAATCCTACTACTTTCTTCATTCTCCTCTTCCTTGGAATTGGCTATTCTTCTCTAGCGCAATTTTACCAAATACACATTTTCAACTAAACTTTATTGATAATTGTTTTTTTAATACTATATTTTATTCAAATAACATTAAACGTTTTATGAAAAAAAAAATCCAAAACGTTCTTTGATTGTGAGATATTAATATATGTTTATGTGTGGTGTTGAGATAATAAAAGTCTTTCTTTAAAAACTTGAAAGAACTTTTTCCGAAATGTTGGTCAAAAGTACTTCTATAATTATTCCAGCTGTGAGAATAATAACATCGTTATTACTCAATCCAATCTATTGTAATTAGAGCAAATTAAATTCTTTATACAACTATAATCGTATATAATAACAAATATCATTCAAAAACTACTCAATTTGCATTTTTTATGTAATATTTTCCACTGAATGAAATGAAATTTAAATCATAAAATTGAATTAAATCATTTATATATTGGTTCTTAGTTTTTAATTGTTACATTAATTAAAGTATATTATGATTTTATTAATCGAAGTTATCAATAAAAAAATTAAATATTTTTTCTTCTTCTTTTCTTCTCCACACTTCACTTGTATTGCGCGTCTTGCATAATTTCGCCTGGTAAATATTTTTTAATTTAAAATATTATTGGTTTGTAGTACATGCAACCAAAATTACGTAACCGTCAATTCTAAAGAAGTCATTTAACAAATCTTATAAAATTTTCACAACTAACAAGTATTGCCCCCTGTAAACTAGTAGCTAAAACAGACGATGAACCAAAAAGTCTGTAGTAAATTTCTATTTAACCATACAGTATTGAAATATTAAAATTCAAACTATTTGAATTTAATATACAGTGAAACATCGATTAAAATGACTCGAGTTACATCATTTTTAAAACTTGTTTACACATATTATGTGTATTTTTGAATATGTTTCACTATACGAGTAAAAATCCGGAAAGTGTGGAACAGATTAAAATTATTTCTTTAAATAAATCATAAATAAGTAAAATTTAATAATAATAATTTATTAGGGCAGATAAAACGTTTAATTGCGCTTTGGTTATTATGATTAACAAAGATGTTTAATAATAATTTGTTATTAAAGTGAATGTATCTAACAAAAATATTGTGTAGACATATTTACTAATTTTATCATACCGCTAAGATAACATGCGTCAAACTATTAATTTTAACATTCCCGATTTCACATTCCAGTGTTCGTTTTATCTATATTCTTCTAATTATAGCTCGTATGTTACAAATGTTTTGGAAAAAAATGTTAACATATTTGTGTTCTATGTATTCTTTAAAATTTAATAAATATTTATACCCAGAAGGGCGTAATATTATTAATTTATTTCAGATATAGTTTTTTAAGTATATTTTGTTTTTTTGTAAAATTATGTTTGATAGTTTTCAATTTACATATATATTTCATAAGATTCGGTTATTCAACACTAACTAAATTTTAAGAAAGATGATGGTGTTAATTGTAGGTGTTAACTATGATTTATACGATTTGAATGAGGATAAACATTCAGTCTGGTGCCATCTGTTAGAGGGTAGGAAGATCCTGAAATGAGGGGGCGGAGGTCCAAGAGAGAATCAATCAGATTCGTAACTGGACTAAACGACCAGGGGGAACGTCGAGGTCGCGACGCGAGTATATTTACGCCAGATGCGTCGCGCCGCAGACGCCCGTCGTTCCATTAGTTAGTAACGTGCTGCAAAAAGTAATTCCGGAGAAGAGCTACAGTAAACGAAGTCCAGATGAATTTGTAAACAGTTCGGTGCGAAGAATTGCAGAACCCGGGTTGCAAGGACGCACCTAAAGCATTAGATGCAGAATTAAATAATCGCGCGCCAATTGAAGGCAAAGATTAAGGAAACAAGACAACAAAGGCAGTAATATAAGTTCACATCAACAATAATGTTATTTGTCTTCAAATACAATTTGGCATGGAGCTTACGCCGTCTAAAGTTTAGGTGAGTTTATATTTTTGTGCTTGACTCCGGTCGCTCTTCCGAATTAAAACCCATGGACGGAACCAATGCGGCATTTCGGACCCATTGTACATCACGTAGAGGGTAGAAATGCAGGGGTCGTTTCCTGATCGATATACAGCACCGTAGGGGCTCCCCCTCGACCTAATCCAATCCACCCCCGAAAAGTGAAAAAAA